AGGAAGTTAAATCCATCTTGTCCATCTCTTTCACAATCTTGGATGCCTCTATCAGATTCCCTCGAAGTCGACAATACTTCAGTGAATACGAATCGAAGGCCTCAAGCCTATCCTCATATTCTAAGTCGTCAATCGCATTTATCATCCTAGCTGTTTTTCGCTGTACTCATTCCAGCCCATGTTTGTGCTTTTTGAAACATTCAAAGCCTGTGCACAATACTCTAGAACATTCCTTCTCTTGTGGTGGACATTCCTGTTAATAAGTACTATCTGAGATAACACACACAGTCGGGAAACGCGCGCAGTGAGATCACGTAACTCGGCTGTAAACATGAGTTCCGACGCGACGACTGTCCCTGGATCCGCCTCTGCCCGCGCTACGGCGTAAAACGCCCCACCGGCCAGGGCTGTGCACAGTGGAATCACGTATGCAGTGGAGCCATGTTCACAACCAGGGCCTGAAGGTCACATCCAACGATATTGAAATTGCAAATCACGGATGTGGTGTTTCACGGAAAAAATAGACAAAAATTTCTACACCCCCACCCCTTTCTGCCATCCCGGTTCCCCCCTCATCACCCGTCCGTCCCGCCGCCTCTGTCTCTACGTGATCCGTCTTGTGTGGCTTGGCCATGAACATGGAACATGCACTGTATGCCCTTTAGTGTTAAATGTCATGGCTGACGTCACCACGCCACCGAGGGCTGTTCGACACCACGTCGTAAGCAGCACGTTGCCCATGGAGCACACAAAGCTGCAGATGATGGCCAGGACGCGCGCAGGCGGAGAAAGGGAGGACAAAAACTGGAAGCGATTACCAGTGAGGGCAGCCCTTTTTCCCGGTGCCGAGCTGAGGTGAGGCCTGGTCACGTACAGTCCCTGCCAACTTGCTTCATACACGTCGCTCTTACGTCACTGATCACTGATAAGTTAATCGCGGGTGAATCTGTGTGGCAAAAGACTGATTCATTCCGGGACGGCGGTGAAGCTAAATAATTATTTCGGACTTCGCTTTTAGGTAATGGCTGCAACGCCCTGAACTTAGTTCAACTTATATTTCATTTCCTATATAGATGTGGATGATTGTCATGTACTTGACGTTTAACAGTTCATAAGCGCCGCGAAGTGGGCATCTATAAACGCCGCAACGCATAGCAACGTGCACGGCGCCATTACAAAAACTGTTTTTTTACGAGGCAACGCTGGCAGCGGCATCGTTCGACCGCTTCATAACATGGTGGAATATTGCGTCAGCACGATCCATCAAATCGCATGACCGTACGCTTGCTGCTGGTCACGAGGGATCATTATCCCAAAGTCCCATGAACTGGGGTTTTCCCTCTGAAACTGTTGCCGCTGCTTCAGCGAAATCAGTACCCTACGCCGCAACGGTGCAGAAAAGGGACATGTATAATTCCGCCTGTGACAGGCCGCATCATTTAGTGCAGCCTATCCCGCAACAACCAATACCTCACAACTAATACAACATATAACATACAATATACAACAATAAGTAAATAATAAAATAAACAGTATATAAAATATAGTAAAATACAATGTCCCATAACAACTAAAATCTGACGTTTATAGCAAGGACAAGACCCAAGCAGAACAGGGACAAGGACAACAAAACAGGGGCCAAACGTCTGCACACTTTCTCCAATCTGTTGCTCAGTAACCAGGGCGTTTATAAGCGGTATGACTCTCACTGCTCCACCTCTCATTTATTACTGGATGCGCCATGACTTGGCACTTAACAAGAGCCAGGATAATGTAAACAAAACAGTGTTTGGACAGGGCGTTCACATTCCGCTAGAGCGCAGGCCTCCACGCCCCAGCAGCGAACTTGTATCCTGACATAACCGGACTTCGCCGGTTATGACCAGTTAATCACCACGCTTCTCTGATCAGGCATCAAATATTAACACTGGTAGAGACGGTCGGGACAGCTCATTCCCGAGATTCAACGCGCGTTGAACCCATCGCTGAGAACATACTCAAGTTCCAGCAACACATGCGGTTTCGACATCCCTTACGGACCTGCAATGACTTATCTCCTCCACCATAACAAGTGGATCAAATGACAGCTTCTAGGAAAGGTTCAACCAGCCGGCGAAAACTCACCGGCCTTGATTTCATACACTTATACTATGCGCCTGTCTCCGTGAGGGTGTTCAGTACGCATGACTTACGCAGCGACGCACCCAGGAGGAAGGCTGATAAGGCGCACCATCGGCGTCCACCAGGCCACCTCGTGCCAGGGTGCAGGCTGTGAGACGTGAGGGGAGGGGTTGGGGGTGGGGTGACGAGCGTTATCTCTACCAGGTTCTCTTGGCCCGCACTGAACCCAAGGCGTTTTGAGAGGGAGACACGTGTAGCTGTGCAGGCCCCCTCGGCGATCCCCTTCCTCACCCCACCCCCTTCGGAGTGGGCGAGGGTGGGAGGGCGGTGGAGGGTCATCCGCCCAGGCGTGTTTTTCGACACGTCCGCTTTCCGTGGTTTACTTCCACTGCTGGATGTACCACAAAATGATCTGGCGATGCAAATTTCAATATATGGTCAAACAAAGCCACTGAAATTAGTAGCTAACGTGAATTAAAATAATTAAGGCGGCATTTATAAATATTGGCTTACTCATCGGCACACATTAACTGCTACGGTCATTATCGTTCGCTGCACCACTGTGGAGGCCAGATTCAAGCGAACGGTTCCTGTGGCAAACCATGAATGGGGTACCACCGCTCGTTTTTTGTGGCGGCGCGTTCTTGAACCCACATCCGATCGTGATCCAGCATTTTGTGGGTGGGAGACAGCGGGGTCGGGTTGCCATTAAGGTCCTCTGTCGAGTGTGCGGAGACCAAATCGCATAGGAAAGCACAAACCCTGATTGAAATTTGACATCTGGCCTTTTCAGGACCACTGCGCGAAAACAGCATGGGAAATAGCCGTGTCCAAGTACCTATCAAGCTTTCGATTGAAACTCAGTCCATCGTATACACATTACGTTCAGAAGCCCGTCAGAACAACATGCCCTGTGCCCCTCCCCCCGCGCTCCGGATGGACAAAAAAAAGACGCACAACGAAACCGTAAATCCACGGTAAGACCGTGTCCAACTCTTGGCGCGCGTTATCGTGATTATTCCAGGACAAAGCACATATACTACAGCGCCTGAATGGAAAAATGTGTCACTTAAAATGGGATCCGTCCAGACTTTGCAGCTTTTTAACTTTTGTAGTGGGTCTGAATATAAAAAGCACGCCCACAGGATGAATATGCCTCCAAAATGTACATTTAGCACTGAACCTGGTAGTATATGCAGACCAATAGCGCGTTTCGTGGACATCAGATTATGCAATATGTGTCAACAACAGCAACCGCAGCGTACGTTCCACAAAAACGGCTCTGCAAAAGCTGAAAGCGCTAAAACTTTGTACGGACACAGTTTTGTATATAACTCATAAACCATTCGTTGGCCGCACATAACGTTATTTTGACAATTGTAATTTCGCTCCTTCCGTCTGCGGTTCCCCATTGATGTACGTGTTGCTGCATGCATCGCGGTAGTGCTGGACAACAGGGATGAGAATTACATCGCGTCGGAATTGTTGGAGACAACCTTGTAGACCGCACCTCAAGACGTGACCAGATAGATTGGCAAAGCCTCATAGCACTTCCATTTTCCTGGTTTTCTCATAATCCCGAATCTGACGATCGCATTGGGTGATAAGCGAGCGAAGCGCAAGTTTTTTTCGGTCAGTTCTTACGCAGCGCCTTGCCCCAGCGAAGCGCAGAGTTGATCAGACAGCAGCAGCTATCCCGTCTGTCGGTCGGTCGAAGCCACCCGCGCAGTGGAACATCACCGATTAGCCAGCGGAACAGCACAGGTCAGCCAGCGGAACACCAGCGGTCAGCCAGCGGAACCGCACCGGTAGCCAGCGGAACAGCACCGGTCAGCCAGCGGAACCGCACCGGTCAGCCAGCGGAACAGCACAGGTCAGCCAGCGGAACAGCACCGGTCAGTCAGCTAAACAGCACCGGTCAGCCAGCAGAACAGCACCGGCCAGCCAGTGAAGCAGCACCGGTCAGTCAGTGGAACAGCACCGGTCAGCCAGAGGAACAACACCTGTCACCCAGTGGAACAGCGCCGGCCAGCCAGGGAAACATCGCCGGTCAGCCAGCAGAACAGCACCGGCCGGCCAGAGCCCCAGTGAGGCCCCAGATCATGGCGTACGGTGGACACCAGATCAACAAATATTTTAAACATTGGCACGGGCGTAGCTAGGCTTAACAATAAAGATGCTTCTCATTCAAAATGTCCTGCGTAGCCTCACGAACGATGGCTACAGCAAAATCTTATGAATGGCAGGGGCGTAGCCAGGAATTTGCTGAAGGGGGGGGGGCGGAGCTTGGTGAAAACGCACCATGCCGATTTTCAAATTTCTCTCAAGAGTAATTGATGGAGAAAAGCTAAGAGGTCCTGGCCCGCTGGTCCCCCTCCCCCTCCCCCTTGGCTGCGTCCCTGGTGGATGGCAGTGCAGATGTGAAGCGAACAGCCTGGCGGTGTGACGTCAGGAAAACCAATATTTTATGGATTTAGCAAGAAGACGCCCCTGCGAGAGAAAGAACGCAAACAGACACTATCAGACCGGTTGGAGGAAAAAGCAGCCATGTGACATAGGAGCTGCGGTGGCAAGTGATAAACCGGGACACGGCATGCCCTTCCCTGACATGCAATCGCATGGGGTGCAAGTGGTATCAATGAACTGTTTGTTAACGACACTGACAACGCCCATACACTGAAATAGACATAACGTGCCGAAGAGCACCGCAGAACAAGCTGAGATGGATTACGGCATACACCAGAACTTTCAGAAGACAGCACAGAGGCAACAAGTTTGAAATTGCACTTCGGGCGTCCAGCAATCACCCTTCGATTCCGCGGTAATCAAGCAATCTGAGCTATAAAACGTTCACATTTTCTCATCACAACTCTTCAATC